AATTTAAGTGTATTAAATTACAGGAGGAGGAAAAAAGAGGAGATGATAGTCTTCAACTGTTCTAATGTCCAAACTTGTTAACACGTAGAATTTAAAATCTTGTCCCTTCTCATTTATGCTCTGTTTTTATAGCAAAGGTAGATACAATTTCTTGACAAGGGAGGTCACTGTAAACTGAACCACACACACCACACTTTTTTTCTTTAAAAAAAGTCCTTTTAATATCAAAGTCTATCAGGACATCAAACCTTGTGACCATATCTGGTGTAATCCGATGGGCTGGTGCCATTATCAATCAGCTTTTCAATTTCAATTATTTGTGTTTCATGTTGATCCCCTGACAATTCAACTGGACTATGTTTCTCTGAGTAACTGACATTCAAAACATCTTGATTGGTGCTGCAGTGTATTGGAAGTTTTGTGGGTTGGTAACTTTTGTTGTTGATGTCTGTTCAGTCCTTAGCTTTTCATTGTTGAATTCCATTGTCTGTTTTAATTAGAACAGACCTTAGCAAAGCAGGTTTTACAATAACTGCTGGTAAAGTTTTTGGTTCTTTAACCCAAACAGGCTGTCCTGTTAGATTAGAGTGAACCTTTGTTGAAGGTCTGACATCAAAATCCATCTTTTGTCTAGCTTTAATGTTGTTATTAATTCTGTTGAAATCTTTGTAAGATTTCTGCTTAGATAAACCTTTGGTTATGGTAAGTCTATTATTGTTTTGACTTTCTCTGGGTCAATTTGAATGCCATCTTCTGTAATGATGTGTCCAATAAACTTTATGCTACTCACAGAAAAAATATATTTTTCCTTTAACATGAATTTTTTTAAGAACTAGTCAGTCTGCTATCAGGTTCATGTTGGTTCTTTCCACTCACATTGTCAATATTACATATAACTCCAGGTATATCTGCCAGAATGTTAGTCATTTCACAGTGGAATATCTCCAGACTGCAGCTAATACCAAATGGTAAACATGTAAAACATTGCAAATGGTGTTAGAAATGTTGTCAGTTCTTGTGAATCCTGTGCAGTTTTATTTGATGAAAACCACTGTTTCAGTCTAATTTACTGAAAATTGTAGTAACCAATGATATTAGACAGATCCAAGAGAAATGCCACAAACATCAAAGGTTAAATGTCACTTTCTGAACCCAATACATTAAACAGGTCACGTTTCTAGACAATCTTTGGAAAAAATTGGATTGGCCACCAAAGTTCCATGAGGCTGAAATGTGTTCAGTGGAGAACATGTATATCTGCACATGCAGCAACCTACTCAAACCAAAGTTTCTCCAAGCCCACATCAAGACACCAGTGAGCTCTAACTCACAGAAGACTCAGTTCTGGACAGAAGCAGGCTTCCTGCAGGTAATATTCTGTGTTACTATTTATGAAATGTGTGCCATACATCTTAGATAAGGTCATCAGAAATATAGCTAACAAATAGATTTGCGGATGGTGTAGGGGAAATAACTATGTAAACGTGATAAGTTAGAAACGCCTTAATTTACTAGTTCCTTTTCTAGTCATGTGACCAATGTAGCAATTAGAAGGAATCTGAGATCTTTGCTTACAAAAAATACTAAGCAAGGTAAAAATTTAACTTTAGCAACTCCTGAATTATGGGTAGACAACACAAGGTATGTTATTTACACATCATTCCTGTTAAATTTATAAGGAGATTAGAGAATTTTCTAATTCACCATAAAAATATATTGCATGTAATTTTTGTTTCAGTATTTCAAAATGATAGACTGTAAAAGAAAAATAAATTTAATTCTCAAGCATCAGTAAAGTATTTTGAGTTGTTTTTAACAAAAAGACTGTGGGCTCTTATATTCTGTATTTAAAAAAAAAAAAAAGATCACAACTCCATTAAACTGCACCAAAAATATATGCTTTCAATTTAAATTGGACTGACAAAGTGGAGCTAGAGAAAACCTTACTAAAAATGAAAATCAAAGTCTACAAACTCATAATGTTACCCACATTTTGGTTACATACTGATGCCACCTGGGCCTACACGTAGTGTCAACAGTGCTTCTGCATCATTCTAGAAGTACACTGAATTACTAACACCGAGTTTCTTGACACAAGCATTGAAGCTATGGTACTAAACATTCACTTATGGTGGGCTAGCAGAGATGATAGACAATTTCAGAAAACTAATCTCTAGTCAACAGAGAATTAGGTCCCCACTAATATAAGGACTTCACCCCACCACCATTACCTGTGGATTCAATCACTGTCTGGGAATCAAAGGCAGCTGAATACAACAGGATAGATCAGGGAACTGCCATTGCTAATCAAATGTAGAAAAGAAAATGATAGAAAAGGTAACTCTGTAAGGCCAGAGCCTCTACTACTCTCTCCTGTATAGGACTACCAAATACTGAGTCTTCACAACACAAGATGAGAACAATTCATAAAGAATGTATATAATCACATTAATAAAATAATCATTTATAGTTTACACATTTAACACCAAAAAAAAGTTTTAAAATTACTTGTGCTTCATGCTTATGTTGTATGAGATTACAGATACTTCATTTAGAATTTTAGGCACAAAACAATGGAATAGTTAGATGTTTTCCAAAAGGACTTACCATTTTCTACCTTTTCTGGTGTAATGCCACTGACTGCTGTTCTGTAATCTGTTATGGATTCTCTGGGTTTAACAAACTTGTCATACACACAACAGCCATGCTGGTTCACAAGGGAAACTCGTGCTAGCATGTTATCTTTCCCATTATCACCTGTACCAACCATTTCACAATCCAGTGCAATATATTCCGAAGATCTGAAACAAAATGTATTAAAAACTGAGGAATACCTTGACATTTGGATTTTACATAAGAAATGCTTGTTACTGCTGATCTTTTATTCATAGCATGAAGATTCAACATTCCCATCATTGTATAGATTACCTATGATGAGAAATGCAAGACCCACAATTTCTTGTTTTAACTTCAAATATATAAGCAATTATATAAAATACATAAGTAACCCCTAAGGTTAAACATCCAATCACAGAAAGTTAACTTCCTATCACATCTAATAAAGAAAAATTTGAAAAAAAATTACAAAATAGGTTACCTATCTTATGAATAAAATGAATGTAAAGAAAAAGAACATAAATGAAATTGAGCAATAAGATTATTTATTGCATATTTATTTAGAATGGAATAAGATATATAGCTAATAATGCCATTTATCCAAAGATTTATAAGTGAAATATTTAACAATTTGAATTAGATATGCTTTACTATTTATGACAATAAGCCTATACATTTAGGACAGCTGCTGATGTGTTAAACATTATTGGTGAGAGAGTCTATCAAGCTTTAAATAAAAATAGTGACTTACTTTCGATATCTTGAAGGTATTTGACAGGGTTTGGCATACTGGTCTTCTTCACAAATTGAAAGGTCATAGTATTTTGGGACAAATTTTTAATTTAATTCAATCTTTTTTTTTTTATTGTTCTCTCTCTTTAATAAGGTTTTTCTTTTTCTCATATTCTTTTACACTCAGTAACCCCTTGCATCTTAGTGGCATTTTTGCCTTGATTGGGGTGAAATGATTTAAAAAGAAAAAAAGATAAATTTAGATATCTTTGATTTTACAAGTATACCAGAACCATCCTGGAACTTGTTTTTACTATTTAAGTTGGCCATTTTGAACTGAAGGCCTTGAAAATGAAAATTGAACACAATATATAAAGTGTGTGAAGGTTATCCAAAACACAAAAAGCTAGAAAAAATATCAAACCAGAGAAAACACAATTATCTTCATGATGTGGCTAATTCCCTTGATAGGCTACTGGAAAAACGAAAGGACTCTAAGAATCCAAATGTGACTAAATAGATAAAAGTCTGAACAGAAATTTATTTTGTGAACACTGTCAATCATTAAATTTTGCCAATCTGTTGGTTATTTTGTTTTACAGCATATCAACCTCAGTGGGTCACTTAATGCTGACATTGTTACAGAATGGACTTTAGCATAGTTTGGTAGAATATATATATATATATATATATATATATATATACACACACATCATACATGCAGTAATATTCGACCACTGATACTTTTGAGTACATTCCAATTGCTTTTATAAAATCTAGTATGCTAGATGTGTTATTTCCATAGTTTCTTCAAATTACTTTAGTAATATTGTTTCCGCACTCAATTCAAGTTTGTACACTCAAGCAGTATATGTTTAACTGTGAATCTTTTTGGCATGTAGTACATATTGGGGATTCTGTGCTCTCTAGTAAATGATAATGGGTGATGTAGGTGTGGCCTATGTGAAGGCATGTCAACACAATTTGTTCTCTTCTATTCTTGTATTTTGTGTTCCATTCTCCAATGGTAGGTTTTATGTTTTGTAGTTTGTTATTAGTGTATTTATATCAATGATTTTGCTACTTCTTAAAGATAATTCTATTCACTATTGCTTTATAATAGGTATACAGTATTTTTGTTTTTGCTATTGTATCTTTCATTTGTTTCCGAGTCTGCCCGTCATTTCCCGTTATACCAAGGTAGCTTGGGATCCAACAAAAGATTATTTCTTTATTTTTTGTTAAGTACTTTTGTGGTTTAAGGGTCAGTAACATCTTTTATTTTTTAAGGCAGTAAGTGCAGACAAAGAGTGTGAAAATAATGAATTTATTGTGGTGGTTTGTGGTTATTATGTCAAGTGCCAAAATAATTATTTCAGCACTTTATATATGGGAGCTATGTTTGTAAGTCTTTTCTGTTTCTTATGATCTTTTAGTATGACACTACATCCAACTTTATTTTCATTTTTTGTTCCATCTGTATATACATAAAGGTAGTCTGGGTAGTTATTTTTTGTAGTGATTATTTCGGATTGGTATACTGTTGGGTTTGTTTTGAATTTCAGATATTTTGTAAGGGTGAGAATTACTTTTGGTTGATTTATGATCCGGGGGTTGGGGGAGAGATAATTGATTTGTGAATTTGTGTTGTATCTATCTGATTTTCTTCTCTTTTTTATCCATAAACCAAAAGGTTTGATAGACATTTCTTTTTGCTGCAAAGCTCTATGAACTGTGGTTGGAAAATAGTACTGAAAGCCGGATTTAGAGGGCATGATGAGAGTTTCAGGTAATATTGCAGAGCAAGTTTTCATGTCTTAGTTTAAGAGATGGCTCATTTACTTCTGTATATAGGCTCTCAACAGGAGAGGTGCTATATGCTCCAAGGGTTAGCTTAACTCCTTGGTGGTGTATGGTATTTTGTTCTTTCAAGTATGTTTTTCTGGCTGCTCCATATATAAAGCAGCCATAATCAAGTTTTGATTTGATTTTAGAGAGCAATACAATTTCAATAATGTTTCTTCCTTCCTAATCAGTGTGTGCTGTGGTTCTGAGTAATTGTATTGTTTTATTACATTTTGTTCTCAAGTATTTAATATGGGGAATAAAGGAGAGTTTGTGGTCAAAAATGATTCCTACATATTTGTATTGATCTACAATTGGGATTTTGGTGTGGTCAAGTTTCAGTACTGGATCAAGATGGAGTTTACGTTGGTTGCAGAAGTGGACACATTTCGTTTTTTTCTTTTGAGAATCTTAGTCCATTCTCTGTGATCCATTCATTGAGATCTGGCAGATCTGGAGTTGTCTTTCTATATGGTTCATGTTTTTTGCTCTATAGCATATCAGGAAGTCATCCACAAACAAAGCACAATCTATTCCACTATTTATGTTTTTTACAATATCATTTATCTTGATACTAAATAGCATAACAGACAATACACTGCCTTGAGGTACACCCATTTCTTGTTCTTTTTCTTCAGAAAAAATATTTCCCATCCTAACGTTAAATTTTCTATCTTGTAGGAAGTTTTTTTTATAAATATAGGCATTCTAGGCCAAGGTTTTTAAGGTCTCTTAGTTGTGTCATGTGCCTTTTCAAGATTGAAAAAAAAACTGCCACTAGATGTTCTTTTTTAATAGAAGCCTCTCTGATAAATGTTTCCAATTGGATCAGATGATCTATAGGGCTTCTTCAGCTTCTAAAACCAGACTGATATTCTGTTATCAATTTATTGCTTTCAAGGCACCAAATCAATCTGGCACTGATCATTCTCTCTAGTGTTTTGCATACACAACTGCTAAGAGTAATGGGTCTGTAGTTTTTTGCATTTGTATTATCTTTTAAAGGTTTCAGTATCAGTATAACTGTGGTTTGTTTCCATATTTTAGGGATGTCACCACTTATCCACATATTATTGTAGATTTGTAGGAGGTATTGAGGTTTTGAATAGTTCTTTTAAGAATTGATATTGAATTTTATCTGGTCTAACTGCAGTATTGTGGGCCTTGTTGAGGGATTCCTTTAGTTCTGTTGTAGAGAAAGGTTGGTTGTAGCTTCCAGTATTTTTGTTTTGAAATTTTCTTTTTTTTCTTTTTCTGCTTTTGTTTTGATGATTTGAAAATTTTTGCTTTGGTTTTTGGCAGATGAATCTTGCGAGAAATTTTCAGCTAGATGATTTGGTGTCTCTTTCTTATCAGTAATCTTCTGATTATTGTGAATAAGTTGTTTGGTGGGAGTATTGCTATTTTTGCCAGTTATTTTTCAAATCCTCTCCCATACTTTTTTTGGTTTTGTGTTAGTATTTATTTTGGCAATATAATTTTGCCATTTTGGAGTCTTTGATGATTTTTTGGGCTTTGGCTCTGCTGTTTTTATAAGTGTTTAAGTTTTCTTTTGTTGGATTTATTTTAAATTTCTTTAATGCAGCTCTGCATAGTCTCACAGCTTTTTGGCATTCCTCATTGACCCATGGCCTATTGTAAATACAAGAGGTGGAGCTTTTTGATATATGTCTTTCAGCTATGTTTAACAGTTTGTTAGTAAAGTATAGAATGTTTTCCTCTGTTTTTATTGGCTTCTGGAGTTAGTTTGGTAAGGCATGATGTTTTGAATCTATCCCAATTAGCCTTTTTCAGATTCCAACTTGGAGTTCTTTTATTTAATATACTGGTCTTGGTCACTTCCACCTGTCATCATGTACTTTCTAGTCATAATCTAGAAACAGATTAGGGTCACATATTGATAGGTCTATTGCAGAGTATGTGCCTGTTGCTGGATGCAGATATGGGTTTGCTCTATTATTGTACATGCACAACTGATGTTTACTTAATAGTGACTCAGCTTATGTTTCGTTCTGCGTGTAAAGACGTTCTCCCTCCCCATCAAATTAATTCAATTTAATTATAAATACGTTCTATTAAAGAACAGAGATTGTGCAGCCAAATTTAGTGCTGACTGGTTCACCGTGTTGTTCCGGTCATGCTCTTTATTTCATCTAAAGGTTCTGGAGGCACTTTACATTGGGTCCTGTAAGCCTTCTTTGTGTAAACGTGAGTGTTTGTTGGGGCTCTCTGTCATTTGTCTCTAGTTCCTTTTGCTATTTTTTTTTCCTCGCACAACTTCCTCTTATTGTACATTTTTCTGTGTTAATTTTAAATTAAATCTCCCGTTGAAGCCTGAAGAGCTTCGCCCGTTTTTAATATGTCTCGTAATATTAAGTTTTATACTTTTATTTCAATATATATATATATATATATATATATATATACACACACACACACACACATACACATACACACACACACACACACACACACACACACATATATGTGTAATTTCGTTGGGCCTATGCTCCACCATGGAGTCCAACTCGTGTTGGGAATGAACCAAGGGGGAAACCCATTCACCTTGGCTGAGACGGAAATACAATACCAGTATACTCTTATCAAGAGCAAGATTCTGGGCCTCTGCCAAATTCTGGTTTTTATTACACAACAATCTAACAGAGTCAAAAAGCCTTTTCCTCCTGACACAATTGACTCTCAGCACCTACCTTCTAACACATATAAGATAGAGGGTTGGGTGGTTGTTCCGCAATAGCTGATTGAATAGTATGTTCAGGAGAAAAGATACATATGCTAGGGTATGACAGGACCAGCCGATTGATTGGATCGGGCCTATCCAACTGCCCGTCAGACCAAGTAAGTTGTGTGTTGCAAGCCATTGACCACTCTGTTGTCGGATCAATGACTGCTCAACCACCAGGATTCCATCCTAGTGCCTTACCGGTTGCTACCCACGGCCAACACTGAGCAAAATTTCCTTGACTGAATTACCAGTCCAGAGTATTATTGTTATTGTGGCTGTTTTTGCAACATGCTGTGAATGATGCCAACACTTAACTCACCAATCAGCTAGTTATGTACACCATGGCACATAAATAGAAAAGGTTAAAATTATAACTAATTCTCAACAATAGTCATGTGTCTGAGTGGAGAAAATGAACTTGTGGAGTAAGACTCCTAGCAACAAAATATGAATGTAGTATCATTATAAGCCTAAAAATTCTATTGGGAAAGAAATAAATGTGTGTAAAAAGAGAGTTAACATTGATGAAAATTAATGTAAACATAAGTATCCTCCAAACTGATAAAGTTCTAGATTAAGGTAAATCTTAAGATATATTTTAGCACAATGTTGTTATAGTTATTTACTCCAACTTACTTACCAAATAACTTATAACAAAATAGAAAATAAAAAAAGCTAACCTGTTAGCAACAGTTGAATGTTCCTTTGGCACAAAATTGATAGTAGTTGGTTTTGGTTTGTCAGAATTTTGGCTCAGTATAGAAGATTTTGCATTGTTAGATTCCAATTCTATAAATGTTTTATCAATGTCATCAAACCAAATTTGGGTGTTTCTGAAAGAAATTATGAGAAGTAAAAATTGCTTCAAAAAATTCCCCTCAAGAAAAATAAGAGTCAGTTTTCTGTAAGAAGACACATACAGCCATTTAAATATTACTGCAATATCATTACACATTCAGTGGAATAGTAATTTATTATTTTTTCAACAAATAAATTAACATAATTCTCATTAAGTTAACCAGAATCTATTTTGTGAACTAACTTTTTTTTTGTTTTTTGGTAAGCAGTTGCAAAGAAAAATTGAAGCTGTCAATAAAATCATTAACAAAAAAAAAAGCAATGATTTAAGGTAATTATTATTATTATTGAGAGTCACTGCAAATCAATGAAAAAAAAAAACTGATTAAGCTGTCAGACACAAGGAAAATCAGCTGCTCTACATAAGGTGATTGGAATTATAGCTATTGGCAGCAAGTTTTAGAAAGAGAAAAGTGGCTAAAGCTTTTATTGAGGACTGCAAAACATTTTGCAAACGGGTGTCATATGTCTATTTATAGAGTGCAACATGTTCTATTGTCATAATTTTATTATTAAAAAATGCCAGATAAAAATCTCCAATTACTTTTTAAAATGCACTTATACATCTACTTTGTGACAGAGAGAGAGCCCCCCCCCCTCCACCAGGTGGGTTTATTAATCAACAGTTCTAAAGAATTGGTATGAAGGTACTAATTAGTTGGGTAGAATGGATTCCGGAGTAATTCCAGAAATAAGTTTTTCTTTTTCTTTTCTTTTTTTTTTTTTTAATTGTTTCTAGGGTTGAGTTATTAGTTAATTAGGTGAATTAATTTCAGAGTGATTAATGGATGGGTTTGTTAAGTAAAGCTTGTGATAAATGGTGAATTGGATTTTTGGGTGGTTTGCAGGATGAAATCCAGCCAAAGTCCTTAGACAAGATAAGTACTTTTCGCAAAGTTTAAGTGGATGATGTCTGCGGAAAACCCAGCAGGGAATCCAAATTAATTTTTAGTACCATTTGAGAACAGGTTGCCCGCAGAGATTCGGAGATTAGGCAGAAACACATGTTGGTCAAGGCGATTTGCATATTAAAATTCATGGGCGGTGCGTAAAAATTGTTTAGCTCCACCCCACTATATAAGCTGCCTGCATGCTCAAGTTAAACAGAACACGAACAGAGCACAGAGAGAATGTGGTGGAAAACGGCTTGGTGGATTTTGCTGGTCTGGTCAGTTGGTTGTCCTGCATCAAGAAGACTGATCCGAGCTAAGAGATAGAAATAGAACCCGTATAAATCCAGATAACTTCGTCAACAAAGCTGTGAGAAAGCAGACTGCTATATCGTAGGGTGCAGACGAAGATCCACGAATTACCTCCCTTAGATCAGCTGAATTACTATCAGCATAATAATCATCTTTCTCTCTCTCTCTGACTTTCCGACCCAAAACGAGTGAATAAGACACTTTGTATTTATGCAATTTCTTTTGTAGCGACATAAAAGCAGTAGCCTTAAAAGGCTCTTTGTACAGGAACCGAAAGTGTTGCTTATTTTTTTATGTCCTTGCAGTTACAAGAACTTTTTTCTGCACAAATAGCGATTCCTTTCAGCGTAGAACCGAACCATTTCATCCTTTACCACCGGACCGTCCTGAAGGATCGGAACACTGTTGTTCGGATAAAAAAAAAACTCACGTGGCAAATAGTGGTGGTTCCTTCAGCTCACCAGAGGAGGACCAGGTGGTTTTCTTTTAGCGGCCAGAACCACTGGGGAGACAGGACATAGCTGCCGGCGGCAGGGCTTTTACGTTAGACTTATCAACTAGTTTTTTTTGTAATTCATACAACACAGAAAAGAGGTAAAGGATATCTTCAAAATCATGTTCAATTCAAAAAAAAAAAAAAAAAAACAGGGGTAAGGAATTGCTTTTCACTATATGAGTGCTTAAACAAACTATTTCATCAAATGCAATTCTTGTTTTACACAACTTGTTTGCAGCATTAAAGATCAGACTTACAGTTGGATAAAATTTTGCAACTGTTTCTTTGTACAAGAAAAATAGGTTTAATCATTGATCAAATACTTTTAATTATTCTTCAGTTATATTTCAAAAAAGAAAAAGTGAAATGTATGCTTTTTGTTTACTCATGTGTAATAAAAAGAATTGGAAAAATGCTACTCACTTTTTCTCATTCTGCAGAAATTTTTTTCTGTACAAACGGTTATCCTTTGATGTTAATGAATTTGATGGATTCTTATGTGTAAAGACTTTATCAGATCTTTTGGGCAAGCTCTGCAATAAGAAATCAGTTTTATTTAAATCAGAAAAAACATGTGTACTAAAATCCCCAAATTGATTCCCAAGCTACAAGAGTGTAACTAGTGTTGAAGACAAAGAAGTTTTCTATATATGTGTAATCTACATAAGGCAACAACAGCAAATAAAGATAAATTATCCCAGAGGATAAATAAAAATAAATTAAAAATAAAAATTTCCAAGGTAGCCAGATTTTGCTTGAAAAAATAGACTCTAAAGAGTATATCCAATTCCAAAGTAGGATCAAATAAGCTTTTTACATTACCTTTTTATAATTGTGTTATATGATTTGCTTGTCATGCCAAACTGACCCACTATGAAAAGTGTTATTCTGGAAAGAATCATAACTATACAAATCAGAGCTTATAGTACTATTTTTTTGTTCTTGTTACAACTGTCCATACCAGCAGTGTTTTTCAACCCAACAAATGCTTGCACAATGACAAAGGTTTGTCACATTAACACTCATGAATTTTCCACCTTCTAAACACACACCATCAACAAGAATGGAATGAAAATAATTGCCCATATTTGGTGTTTAACACTTATAATCATCCCACATATCCAAGGCAAATAAAGTAATCAGCAGAATCACTGCTATTCAAATGCATCAGTAGTGTCAACTGAGCTAATGAAGTCAAATTTCTCCCATACAGCCAATTCACTAAAAGGTCACAACCACTAATAAGCACTAATCTGACCCAAAAGAGTAAACATTTACCAGAAGACAAATATTTTCTGTGAAAACTTCTCAGACATTCGGACCGGTAAATGTGACGTCATTTGTTTACATTTAATACGCCATGAGCAGATATAAATGTACGTGAGAGATTCCTAGAAGATCGAAGTTCAAATACAGTAAATTCGACCTTGCTAACCGAACGCCCCTCTGTGGCCAAATCAGTTAAAGGCACGTCAAGCTAAATGACGGTTCCGTATAGGATACAGGTTCAAATCCTTTCGGAGGATGAATATTTTCTGTGAAAATTTCTCGGACATTCAGGCCGGTAAATGTTGTTTAATACTGTTTATTATAAACAGAGCATTTACTTAAATATTTGTATCTATGAAAAGAATGTATAAACATAAAAATGTCTTAAAATATACATATACATACACACAGATAGATAGATAGATTATATATATATATATATATATATATATACACACACACACACACATCTCTATCAGTGTGATTTGAGTGGGAGCCAAATAAAAAAAAAAATAGATAAGGAAAAGACTTCATTATAAGTCATCTTTATGGAATAATTGTAGGTACCGTTGTGGATGTGTGTGATGCGTGTTGGAGAGGAATACAAGGTTTGAATTATCAGAAGGTTTAAAATTGTGTGTGTTTAATAATCTTCCATCCAGAACAATTAATACAAGACAGAGAAATAATGATTTATAAACATCTTGTTTCAAAACATAACAGTTAAATTTATTAGTGTTTGATATACATGCATGTGAACTGAAAAGTTAGTTGTGCCTCTTAGATGAAGTAAATATTTGTATTCGAGCTCATAAAGTAATTATTAAACTGTAGTTTAGAAGAATAAAGTTTCTTTTGCATGTTTGGAATTGTGTATTGTACAAGTTGGTAAAAGTTCAGAATAGATTTCAGAGTTCGTACTTGCATGAATGTTGGTAATGGTCATTAACGTCTGACTGCATTAGTTAAGACGGGAGTTCTTGACAATTCTTGGCAATTGAGACGAGAGAGAGAAAAAGAAACTCAAGAGAGTTTACATGTGTTCTGTTTATATATTATTGTGAATCACATGACTGGCTCAGATGAAAAATGCGGTAAAACAGATTTGTCGCATGCAGGCAATTTGATTAGTCGGAAGGTGATTGACCAATGAATGTTTGTTAGATTGTGAGGGTGAAAATTATAACAGGAATAGTGCATTTCCTAGCAGGGGACTAGCTTGTTATGGAAGAGTCCACAGTACCAAAGATTCACTAACAAGTGAGCATAAATGGTAAAAAATGCCCCGAAGATAAAAACAAAATTTTATCTTTGTTATTAAGAGGAAAGGATTTTTTGATAATTAAATGAGATATATTATCCTTTTTAGAACCTTTGAAATTGTTTAAAAATTTTGTTTTTCTTCAATAAATTAGTATAGGAAATTTTAACATCTTTTTGCGACACAAAACACAATGATTTGGAAACTCTTGCCAAAATAAGATAATTGCCAGGATTTATTCACAAAGTGACAAAATGAAATTATTTTTTTAAATGTTATTTTTTTTTTTTTTTTTAAATCTTTGTAAATTTTTTTTTTAATTTGTTAACCCGCTGGCCCCACTTTATGAAAGTTCAAGAATTTTTTTTTTTTTTTTGTAGAACTTAAATATTTAAATCCTAACTTAAGTACAAGCCATCAGAATAAATCAGGAATTTGTTTTACTTTTGGTAAAATAGGACCCCCCAAGTTATAGCACATCTCTGAATTGTAAAATAAAAATATGCAAAAAGTTAAGGCATGATTTAATTAAAAAAGCTTTTAATAATTGCTTTAATGTACTTTTTTAAAAATAAAAAAAACATTAATTCCAATAAATTCCGTAAGTTTTTTTTCTTATAAGAAATCGCTTGAAAAAAAACTTCCAAAAAGATTTTTTCATTTTTAAAAAAATCATTTTAATGTATCGCTATAATTTTAGGAGTTTTCTAAATAAGTAACTAACAAAACAACACTTAAGTTAAAAAAAATTAAAAATCACATCATGAAAAAAAATTTTAGCATGATGAGCTCTATTTTTATGGTAAAAATTTACTTTGGTCATTTATTTCCTTTCTAGCATTTTTTTTTTTTTTTTGTAATTTTATTTTGTAAATATTCATACTCTTTACAAAGTTTGCTCATTAATTATTATTTGTTTTATTTTTAATTTAAAATAAAAACTTTACAACAGTTGTCATTGTTTTTCTACACAGAAAAAGGGGTTTAAAAAAAAAAACAAAAAAAATCACTTGTCATCGCTTTCAGACACAACTTAAGCGCGTAGTAATTTAGACGAGTAAGATCAGTTTTTAGTCACTTAACTGATCTTAACTGTTAAGAACAGTAAAAAGGCCGTTGATAACTACTTTTCGGAGTCCTTTTATCAATTTTTTATTAATTGTTATTTCGAGTTCAGCATGTACATTTACACGGAAATATGACGATTTGGGAAAATTTTAATAGATATTTAACTCGGGGCTTAAAAAGCAAATTTATCAAAAAATTCATTTAACACTTCATTTAAAAAAAAAAAAAAAAAACGCATTTTAAAACAACATCCGCGAAAATGGCGCAGTAATCAAGGCGAGTAAGATACGAAAAGGCCGTTAACTAAGTAAGCTTCCGCGCATTATTCCTCGAGGAAAAGATTATGTAAACAACTCCAATAATGGCAGACCGACAACGTGAAAGAGATCGAACTTACATTGACGATAAATCGTAAACGCCAAACGGTAATCGAGCGCAATGTCTTAATGTCATTTTCGAAATAATCAAGCAATTTCACACCGGAAGATTTCAAAGCTAAACTTAAAAAAAAAAAGACCTTTGGTCTTCTTCACTCCACTTATGCGTCTGTAGTTCAGAATTATTAGCCTTAGTCATTTTAGGAATAATTGTATCTACTCATAAAAAATTATTTTTTAAATGTAATATTTAGCTAAAAGGTGTCTTAAGTTACGTATTATTTTCTGAAAAAGAAACTGAAATTCATTATTATTAACTAAAAAGCGTTAAATTTGTTTTAAGACTTTACTGAAAATCAAACTCAAAGAAATACAGAGTTGTTAAAACCGAAACTGAAACAAATAAATGATTCGGTTACCGTTTTCCTTTAATAAAATATTTTAGAATTAAGATACTCACACTCAACAGTTGTTTCCAATTAGTAGAGTAATGTTGACTGTCGAATGGTAGCGATATATGCTTATGATGTGTAGACGAAGGACTTTTTACAGCAACATTTTTTTGCATGTCCTTACTACTTGTACTAACTCGTTTTGTTGGACTCGTGGAAGAAACTTTCATGTCTTTCTTTGTGGCACCTTTCTTTTTTTCCCCATTTAACCGTTTCAACTTTGATGTTTTGAAACTTGGAACCTTATTCTTCATCTTATATGAAGATATTTTCATGTTTCCCATTGGGGCATAAATTGATATCACAGTGGGTATTTAAACAAATGAAACTAGAGAATCATTTATATGCGAGTTATCTCCCTTGAAATAGTGTCGATTTCCTGTTAGAGATTTTCTTCAATAAAAAAAATACGCATCTTTTTACTAATTGTTCATATTCCCTTAAACTTGCTAATATAAATTTTAGGTTAAAAATTCCTATTTTCCTTAGTACCAAAAATATTTAGTTCTAATATAATTAATTAAAAAAAACTAAAGTAAATAATATTTATTTATTTGTTAAAACAATTTATATTGAAGGAGATGAGGATGTCCGAATCTATCACGCACGACGAACATACATACATATAAAAATACAAATCAGATACAACGCCAAGCATTCATTGGTTAATTAATCGCCACTACGTTATTATAGACAATTTACAAATCACAGCAATAATATTTATAATTTATTTCTGTAAAATTAACAGAAAATATGGCACAAAGCCTAAAAAGGGGGTGGGGAAAGGACGGTCATCAGCTGTCTTAATTTAAGCTAGCCACAACCACTGACGCAAACATACAAGCAATAATCCGAGCACCAAAACAACAGATTCTTATTTAATTTACCTTTCTTACTACATCCACCAAAATACCTCATTGTCTCAATAGTCCCCATAAGTACAAATCGTTCGTCTGTGGGGGGAGGGGAATAAAAAAAAAAAAAAACAAGTTAAAAATTCCCAATGTATATATACAATATGAAATAAACTATTTACAAAAAAAAAAAAAAAAAAAAAAAAAAATTATGTTAGTAATAAAAAACCATAAACCTTAAATGTGGCAGAAATATCAGTTAACTGGACAAAATGGATGCGTGACTATAAATAAAATATAGAAACATTCATCCATCCCAAGCACTCACTCAGACACAACAAATACGAAAAAAACACACACACGCGAAACGAAAGGCGCCCCGCATCCACCAGAGAACTGACATCACTGACCACCTAACGATGGAGGGGATGGGGAGTTAAACTAAAAGGAAAAAGGGACAGAAATAAAAGGTGTCAATGAGCAAACATGCCCTACCTAAGTTAACTGAAAAAAAAAAAAACTAAAGAATCAAAAAACCTACACTGGGATGGGTTGTCCAAGTTCAACCCAGGAAAACAATATTCTGATGCCTAATCGGCATCAAAATGCCACTCTAGGTCAGCCCCTTTTACTCGGCACAAACGTGCAAGATTCACCCACCTTTTGCCAAATTCTGATGAGGTGAGCCGCTGCTTTTCCGTCCTAATCTTAACTTAAAGCTGATGCTTAAAGTACATGATCAGGTGGGAAGAAGTGAACTTCTCGCCATCCTTCTGATGCGTCCTCCAAATCACGACTCTCATAACACCTAGTAAGCAAAAGAACACATAATGTTCAGCCTTCATCAACTGCGGTACCACATTGCTACAAACAGAACTGACCTCAAGGACAAAGAACTTACCCCGCAGCATGCGGTCCATGAGGCCTTCAACAAACTTGCACAACGGCGCTACCACTCTGCAATGAAAGAAGGCGTGACCAATGGTCTCGACTTCCCCACTACAGCGTTAGCAGTTTGGAGATTTCTCCAAGCCCGCTGAACAAAGTCTTTTGGCGACCCAGAGGGCCCCACGAATCACCAGCCAGGTGAGTGATGCCTCATCATTATTCAGGCGTTTCAACCCAGGCGCCCAAAGCCATATTGAGCGAACCTCCTGCTTCGTAAGTCCGAACTCGTCAATCAGCTCATCACGAACGGACCCCCTGAATAATACTCGATACAATGCCCTACGAGACAACACCTGGACGTTGGAGAGGCCATCCGACGCCCATAAGTGGCGTTTCAGAGCACGACGACATGCGCGGTAGAAGGAGCATTCGGCTCGGGGTGTACGGCCGGCCTCCTCCTCGCTCGAGTGCACACGTCTCAGGGATGGGAAGTTTCTACGGACGTCTTCCCATCCGATTCGCGACATATTCGGCCTAGGAAGGCGATACGAAGCATATGTTGACGAATCTCAATGCTAGGCATATCCAGACCGCCCTCAGATGGATGAATGCAACAGATCTCTCGAGATACCATAGCGGTCTTGCCTCTCCTCAAGAAAGAGAACAAGAGCCTTACTAATGACAATAGTGTGGCATACGGAAGTGGAAGTACAGAGAGTAGGTAAAGGAGAATCGGGTAGATGTGTGAAACACATACTTCCGCTCTCCCCTTTAAGAAAAGAGACCACAAATTAATTGCGATTTCGGCCTTCCTTTGTATCCCGACCAATTCATTTCCAACCAACCACCGAGTATCTTAACCGGCCCATCCGCCCAGGGGAAAGGTCTGGGAAGAGAAAATCCCTTCCACGCACCCAACCGCAAGCCAACAGACTTATCGGGGTTGATCTTGGCCCCTGTCACCATCTCATAAAAACTGATCTCTTTGCTGACTTCGTCAATCTCAGTTCTGCTCGAGACAAGAACCGAAACGTCATCAGCATAGGCAGAATAGCTGGCCGAGGTGGTAACTTCAGGCAGAGAAATTCCGCGCAGGACCGGATTCGCCTTTAACTTGCGAAAAAAAAAGTTTCAACGCAAGAACGTAAAGCAAAGGCGAAATGGAACGAGACAACACGAAAGGTTCCGATCTTACTCCTTTCACTTCCACCAGCGCACCGGGAGTCGCAAACAAAAGTCAGATCCAGGAGCGAAAGTCCGGCCGCCGAAAGGACAGCCTCCAGGAAACACTATCGAAGACCTTGGACTGATCTAAATTGATCAGCGCGGCTTCACTGTCGACTTGTTCTAAGATCAAGTGTATCATATTGTCCTGAATAGTCTTGCCCTTCACAGCACAAATATATTCGGAGCCAATCAGACTAGACAGGACAAGCTGCAAACGGTTGTCTAAGATCTTCGCCAAAATCTTCAACTCTGTGTTTAACATGGTTAAAGGGCGAAAGTTATCTACCCCATCCCCACCGTTCTTGTCCTTACGCAGCAACTTGATCACACCCCTGGTGAAGCGTTGAGGTATAGACCCCTGCTTCATCCAGTTGTTGAAAATCAGTCCTAGCAAGGGAACAAAAATGGGTGACTGCCTCAAATAAAATTCATAGGGAAGATCCGGAGATTTATCCAGGCCAACCTGTTTCAGCGCTTCCCAGATTTCCGATTCTGTGATGGGACCCTCGCACCCAGCCGCTTCAGCTGCCTCAAGGCAGGGAAAGTCGGCTAAATAGGCGTCTAACTGAGCATGTTAACTTGCGAAGGTGAAAATATCCTGAAAGTAATCCCGAAAGGCCTCACATATGCCCGTGGTTGTAGTCACGGTCCGCTTATCCGGCAATGTGACGCACCCGATATGTCGCCGAGACGCACTCCGATTCTCCTCTGCTCGCAATTCAGCGACCATATTCATCGCCTCAGAGGACATTCTTTTTAACCTAGCCCTAACTACCAGAGCTTGATCCTTCTTGATAAGCAAGGAGGACAACTCTGCTAAGGCTATTTCCCCACTATCACGGGATATTTCGGATTTAATTGCCCGATCAACTTTTTGTTCTGAAGCCGTTTGCGCCGCTAATCTATCTAGATTAAGTCAACGACTAAAATCAGCAGCAAACCTTCTAATTTTGGATTTTAATTTATCCCCCAGGCGTTCCCTAAAACCGCCTTGTCAATTCCTTCTGTATCATTAGTAGCAGCTGGTCCCGGAAATCCTCCTGACCAAATAATGAACAGCTTAATTTCCAGTAGCCAGCCAACCTAACCTTAGGCTTATATAAGTTTACACGGACCTGAACAAGCCTATGATCCGAATAAACTATATAATGGAAACTTGGACACCCTAAGAGCCCTACATCGACTCTCCTAAATAAGACTCGGTCGAGGTAGGTAGCAAGCGTCCCAGGAGCCGAGTTGCCAATATTTGTCCAGGGTGCTCATTCCGGTACTTATCGACAATATCAAACCTGTCGATAAAGTCCCGAAATGGTTTCACGTCCCGGTTGTATTTTGCCTTATACGATCTATATTGGAGTCAAGGACGGCACTCTAAAACTACCCGACGAGATGTCGTCAAGAACGGCTCGATCTGCCGAAACAAAGCAGGCCAATCAGAATGGAGATTGGGCGCATAAAATCCAATGAAACGCAGAACCTTATCCTTTATGGTAACATCCAGCACACAAAGTCTGTCCGCCGGATCTGTGAAGACAAGAGTACACGCAGCCTTTAAAGACTTGCTCACCAGCCAAGAGACACCTCTCGAACGACCATCAAAACATGCTAAATAAAGGAAGAAACCCTTAGACAGTATGTCCTCGCGGTCATGAGAAGAAAACCGGGTCTTTTGCACACAACAATCATTCATCCCGAGACGCTGAAGGTCGCGAGAGAGCCTCGCCCTGCGAGACTCCGACCGCAGGCCTCGGACTTTTATACTAGCTAACCAGAGAGACATTAATCTAACCGATTAGGGTTGCTTTCCTGAATTGCACGTGGACGGGGTAAGGATACCGACCGCCCCACCCCATCGACCTATGGCCCATCTCAGTCTTGATGGGGCCGTTTTGGGAGAGGCCCCAATATCCTAAGGAAACGTCAATTTTAGTGCTCTATAGAGGGAGGGGTGAACAAAAACCGGGATCCTCCCAGCACAAAATTGCTTCATTTTTTTTAGTTTGTCATTTTGGACAATTGCGATAGGTGGGGACATTTTGAAAAAGGCTATTGCTTCGTCTAGCATCGACCAAGCCTGCTTCGCCCCCGTCCCAGTCCTTATGATAGTCAGAACCCTTTCCGCATTGGGAAAGTGTTTTGGTTCCTCAATGTTTTTATCAGCGAACTGCTTCATTGATAAGAGGTATTTGAGATCCTTTATT